AGCTCCCTGCAGCCAGGCCCTTCTCCTTCTACAGGCTGAGGGAGACTGCTAAGCTCCTGGCTCCCAGCGTCTTTATACAGGCCAGCTGTGGCCTGATTGGGGTGTGGCCCAGCTGCGGCCGCTTCCCCAATCAGCCCAGCTTTTAGAGCTGCAGTCCTCTCCAGGGCTGCTTTCAGGCCCTTCCAGGAAGGAGCGGGTGTCCATCCCGCTACAAGAAAGGAGGGTCTTTTGTTAAGGCAGGTGAATACTGCCCTTGGGAATTAGAATCTATCTCTGCCTCAGTGTTCCTATGTGATGCTTGGCAAGTCACTGAAACCAAAAGTTTCCCAAGTGGTCATTAATTGTGTGTTCCTCATTTTATGGGTGGCCCCCTTGTAACCGTGGGGGTCTGATTTGCAGAAGTACTGAGCACTCGCTGCTGTAAACTGAAGTCAGTGGGAGCTGTGCTGTATAAGGCTAAGTACTGTGAAAAACCAGGGCCTGGATGTTTCAAGTTGGGCACCAAAACTTAGGGACACTTTTGATAATTTTGGTCATAGTGTCTCTGGACTTCCATTCCCCACATGTAAAATGGAGATAACAACACTTCCCTACCTCCCAGGGGTGTTGTGAAGAGAAATTAATTAGTCTTTGTAAAGCACTCGTTTAATATAGAAATTAGCACTACAGACAATCTCATGCAGAAATTAATAATTCAGTATTCAGAGTAGGGTTTGGATGACGTGCAGGACATCATGGCCACACATTAAAGAGTGAATATAAAAAGAACTATTGACCATTTACCCATCCGTGAGCACCGTGTGTCCTCTGCACTGAATGAGGGAGGGGTCAAGTGGAAAAAATAGCATCTGATCATGTAATTAAAGACTGTATCATAATGCATAGTCACAAAAGGGACTAATGAAGGTTTCACAGGTAAGTACAAGTCTGGCATTCAGAATGTTTGAGTGCTTCACTTTGCAAATTTTACTTTCTTTTTGATTCATTTCTTTATAGGTTATAGGGCCAGAAAGGAGCTTTAGATATTCTAGTCTAACCTCCTAAGTAACACACGCTATAGCATTTAATGCAGTTACTCCTGTACTGAATCTAATAACTTGTGTGGCTAAAGCACATCTTCGAGAAGGCATGCAATTTTGTTCTGAATACTTCAGGAGGTGGAGAATCTTCTGCTTCCTTTGGTAGTTTGTTTCAATATTTCATCACCATCACTCTGAAAAATGTATTCCTTACCTCTAATTTATCTGGCTTTAACTTCCATTCATTGGTTGTTGTTATGCCTTTCTCCACTAGACTGAGAAGGTCTTTAGTATGTAGTGTTTTGTCCCTGCGAAGGTACTTATACACTGCAATCAAGTCACTTCTAGGTCATTGTGATGTTCCCCTGGTATTATCTGGACTGGTGATCTGCTAGGTCACCCCAATCCTTAACTCTGGGACCCAGCCTTACCCTGCTCTGCTATGAGAACCCCCACTCCTGGGCTGTTCTCGCACAGCCTCTGGCATGTAAGCTGCTCCTTGGATTGTGCAACCGAATGACACTAGCCATTACCCCCCGGTCCCAGACACAACCCTAGGAACCTCCGTCTTGCAGTGTCCAATTATGCCCACCGGATGCTGCAAGCTTATATGAGTTCGTCAATTTAACAAAGAAATTGGTATGTACCAGGCTTGTTATCCCAAGGGGAGTCCCTGACATGCTCCAAACCAAACACACTGCTTCAGGTAGAATAAAAAAACAGACGTATTAACTATAAAGATAGATTTTAAGTGATTATAAGTCAGAGCATAACAAGTCAGATTTGGGCAAATGAAATAAAAGCAAAACGCATTCTATGCTGATCTTAACACTTTCAGTGTCCTTACAAACTTAGATGCTTCTCACAACAGGCTGGCTGGTTGCTCTTCAGCCAGGCTCTCCCCTTTGATCAGTGCTTCAGTCGCTTGGTGTGGTGTCTGTAGATGTAGGTGGAAGAGAGAGGAAGAGCATGGCAAACATCTCTTCCTTTTATCATGTCCTTTCCTCCCTCTTGCCTTTGCCTCCCCCTCCTTCAGAGTCAGGTGAGCATTACGGAGTCTCTCCAAGCAAGGTTGAGCAATTCCCCTGGTGTGGCCTGATGCTGGTGAGTCATTGCATTGTAGCTCCTTTGCTGGACAATGGCTGTTGATGGGTTGTTTGCCACCGCACCGAGCATTGGTTACTTTCCTTGCTGTTGCCTCTAGGGAGCTAATATCTGGCTGATTCCCCCAACTTACAGCATGTTTTAGTGACAACCATACTACACAATTCTCATAACTTCATATGCATTAATGATATACATATATGGATAGAGAAATGACTTTTGGTAGATCATAACCTTTCGCATGATACCTTACAAGGCATGCTTTATACGTAAGATCACGATTATATGAAAATGAGGAATATGGGGGTTACAGCACATTACCCCAAGGTATAGAGTGTCACAGTCATCTTTTTGATAAAATAAACAGATTGACCTCCATAAATCTCTCACTGCAAGGCACATTTTCAAGCCCCCGAATCATTATTGTGGTTTTTCTCTGCACCCTTTCTAATTTTTTAACATCCTTCTTAAAATATGGACACTAAAACTGGATGCAATATTGGTCTCACCAATGGTGTATACAAGGTAAAATCACCTTCCTACTAGAGCTGGTAGGAAATTATCTTGCAAACCAGAATTTCATTGGAAAATACAAGTTTGTTGAACTCAACATTTATCATGGAACTGAGTTCAGTAAACTTTCTCAAAACCACAAGGGGGGTCTGCTGGAAACCAACTTGGATCCCTGCTAGCTTCCCTGGTCAGTTCCTGTTAACCCTGTCACGTAGATTGTTCTAGAATTGGAAACTCTGCTCTTTCTAGGGTCTGTACCTCCAGGGCAGCCCTGCCAATGCTTTCAGGCTCTCTGTCATGGGAAAGGAGACTGAAAGCCCTGGGAATCCCAGCTCTAACCAAGGATCAGATCCAGGGTCTGCATAGCAGGGCCTGGAAGTCCTGGATGGGTTCTGGTGTCCCAAGGTCTGCGGTTCTGGGGCAGCCCTGCCTTGCAGAATGGGCTGGATTGGGCTATTTGCCTGCTTAGGCTGCCAGCTGGCCAAGGGGTCTGGAAGCCCGGGGGCCCCCAGTCCAGGTCAGGCCACATGATGAGGCTGCTCCAGAGCCCCAGCAGTGGCTGTGAGAAATTGACATGCTTGTCCTGATGTTAACAGTGGTGAAACTGACAAGGATGTCAGTGTCACTCCGCATCTGTTGGGGTTCCTGGGAGCAAATTTCAGGTTGGATACACCATGGGCTGGAGTTTCCAAAACAAAATTTTAGGGTCATTTCCAGTTTACAGGACATTTTAAAATAGTGAAATTTCCGGTACACTAGAAATCCTGTATTTCAGCCAGCAGTACTCATTGCTCCCCTGTTTATACATCCAAGGATCATCTTAGTCCTTTTAACCACAGCATCACACACTGGGGGCTCATGTTCAGTTCTTTGTCTAATATGACCTCTGCAAAGAGCATGGGCTATATCTGTATTTCTGTGAATATTATGTGTACCTCAGTTCCTTTTATTGCTATTTTCACATTTCCTACCAGGGTTCAAAGGGTAACCCCCGTCTGAGCTCCCCACATGTCCCAGGAAGGCAGATAATGGCTCTAGGGAACCCAGTCACTGGTAATTAACTGACAATACAGGTGTCAAGGGCTTTGAACTTCTTCCTCTGACCAAGCTGAGCACAACCACACCTTGTTCGGGAGGAGCCCCCAAGGTAGAAATCTTAAACAGAGAGCTTGGGAATTGTTAAAAGGAGAGCCCTGATGAACAGAGGAGATGAGGCAGGATCTGTAGGGAAGGAGATTGAAACTCGGTCCCCAGAAGCAGGGATACCTGGGATAAGTTATCAGCCCAGTTTTGAGGGAAATGCTGTGCTTTAGGTAAAACATAGGCCTGTAGACCTTCGGTTGCTTTATCCCTTTTCTCTGTGATTGCTGTGTCCCTATGGGATAAATAAATAATAGCACTGTCCTGAGTCTGGCACTATTCAATGTTTTTGTTAATGACTTGGATGATGGAGTAGAGAATAAATTGATAAAATTTGTGGATGACATCAAGCTGAGAGGGGTCGCAAACTCTTTGGAAGACAGGATTAAAATTCAAAATGATCTTGATAAATTGGAGAATTGGTCTGAAATCAGTAAGTTTCAATTCAATAAAGTGCAAAATACTAGATTTAAGAAGGAAAAATCGAATGCAAAAGCACCCCCCCCCAAAAAAACCCCAACAAAATAGGGAATAACTGACTAGGCAGCAGTACTGCACAAAACGATCTGGGAGTTATAGTGGATCACAAATTGAAAAGGTGTGATGCTATTGCGAAAAAGGGAAATGTCATTCTGGCTTGTATTAACAAGAATGTCATATGTAAGACACAAGTAATGGTGCAAGTATGGTGGTACGGTCCAGTATGCCGTACCAGTAAGATATTTATAGCTGTATGGCATATCAGAAAGACACAGGAGGATCCCGCCCCTAGCCCTGTCCCCAGCCCTTCCATATAGCTGCGTCCCCTGAGTCCTCCTGCCTGGGGTCAGTACAGCAGATATGTTTATTGAACACTTCTGCCTTTTCTGCATCATTATTAAAATTTTAACCATCTCTATTTGTAATGTACCTACACCAATGTAAGGATTTGTTTGTTTGTGTGTTCCTAATATACTTAAAAACTCCTTCTTGTTGTTCATAGTCCTGCCAGTCATGGATGTTACCCTGATGTCTTTAGCTTCCCTTATCAGTTTTCTACATAGCATAGCAATCAATATACATTAGAAGTTATCTAAATCCCCCTTTTCCCATTATTTATACCTTGCCTTTTTAGTACTATTGTGGTTTGGTGGCCAAGTGAAGGCAGCAGTGAGCTTTATGACGGTGAAGCATCCTAACTCCTAAAGGCCCATTTATAATTTTCAACCTTCATTGACTTTCTAGGACACATTAAGCCTCAGCTAGTTGGAGGGGACGATGCCTGCTCAGGACGTGTGGAGATAATACATGGAAACACGTGGACCACAGTCTGTGATTCACACTTTGATCTCAAAGTTGCCAACGTTATCTGTAATGAACTTGAGTGTGGAATAGCTGTATCTATCCCAGGAGGAGCTCACTTTGGAGAAGGACAAGGAAAGATCTTGACTGAAGAATTCCAGTGTGTGGGGAATGAGTCTTTCCTGCTCTCCTGTCCCAGGAAATTACAAGAAAATCAGATGTGCTCACACACAAATGATGCTAGTGCCATATGCTCACGTAAGAACTCAGCACAATGTCTTTAAAATTCCAATGATGTGTATTCTAGATTAGGGCCAAGCAATGTACTGATCTCACTGTGTAGGGAGCTGTTTTGGATAGGGTTGGATCAAAAACCCAAACAAGCCAAGATAATGAAAAAGGGATCAATGCCCCCTGACTTTCCTTTCTTTAACTATTTGGTATAAAATAGTTCCAAGGCTCCCTCTCTAAACCCCTTCTCCCTTCGGCACACAGGGTTCCAGCTGGTGAATGGCAGCACAGCATGCTCAGGGAGGGTGGAGATCCAGGTTCTTGGTGTCTGGAGAACCCTCTGTGATTCACGCTGGGATTTACTGGATGCCAATGTTCTCTGTCATCAGCTTGACTGTGGATTCGCTGTATCAGCCCCAGGAGGAGGGTATTTTGGGAAGGGAACTGGCTCTGTCTGGACAGACACATTTCACTGCAAAGGGACTGAAACCCATTTGGGCCATTGCCCTGTTACTGCTCTGGGGGCCTCTCAGTGCTCACACGACAATGATGCCAGTGTGATTTGCTCAGGTAAGTGCAGGAGAAATACTGGATTAAGGACACCTGCCCCTCAGTGTGTGACACTGTCCCCAGGGCAGGGGAACCTCAGGGCACAGCAAGGGGAGGGGGAGCTAGATTCTAAACCACACATAATGATAGTAAATATATTAAACACAAAATTAAAGTAAATAATATTATTACAGGAAAGCCCTGGATTTTCCTGGAAGAGCTTTAGTCAGCAACTCTGTCCTTATGCAGGGCAGTGGAGCAGGGGCAGCACTTTGTCCCTTGGGTTACATAAATGTCATCAATTCATTGGCCCCATCCTTCTCCAAATCACTGCTAAAGTAATTAGAGGGGGCGCTAATAGCGACTGCCAATATAGAGGTTGCTTCACAATTTCTATTATAAAATATTCTCGACGGCTTTGAGAAGCTCTCGTGCCTTCATTGTTTGCAGCAGGCCTTTGCAGTTTGGGAAGGGGTCAGTGTGGGGCCAAGAATGTTCCTCCACCTACTCCAGTGAAATTCCTTCCATTTTGGCTGAACTATAAATTGCTGAAAATGACCATTTCCCTTCTCTCACTTGAGTTCCTGAGGGCATTTTTGGTAGCACACCACAGAGAAAGTAGCACTTTATCTCAATTTGTATTTTTTAATTACCTTTTTTCACATCTTTCCAGTTAAAAAAAAAACACAAAAAATTTCCCCCCTGCTTTCTTACGCTTTTTAACTTTTTTCTAATGTTTTAAGGTGGAAGAAAAGATGAAACAATAGAAAGGGGAAGGAAGGGGAAAAACCTGTAAACCCAAAAACTGAAAAGGAAAATTGAAGGTTTAATTTTCCAAAAGTTGAAATAAATCAACATTTTAGTTAGAATCTAAACAAAAATTCTCATTCCATTTCCACATGCCAATATCTCGGACCTGTTTAAAAACTGAAATACTGCATTCAAAATACTTGTGGGTTGTCGACCAACTCTAATATTTACCTTACATAAAAATAAAAATAAATCCTTAAACAGTCAAAGCCAAATGCTCAAGAATTAGGAAATAGCAGTGTTAAGGTTACCCATGTAATATTAAGTCAGCTCCCATTCCTCCCTTGTGTGTATAAATTATGATACAATCTAATTTCATGCACACATCCTATTATTCCCCCTACACACACACACACACACACACACACACACACACACACACACGTAGGTGGC